TCTTTTTTTCTCACAGCAGAAGCCAAGGGAACACTCTGCACTGCGATCACTATTAATATGTTAAGTATTTTTATTATTTATTTTATTTTTTAAAGTATTTTAGGGACGCGGGTGGCGCTGTGGGTAAAACCTCAGCGCCTAGGACTTGCCGATCGCATGGTCGGCAGTTCGAATCCCCGCGGCGGGGTGAGCTCCCGTCGTTCGGTCCCAGCTCCTGCCCACCTAGCAGTTCGAAAGCACCCTTAAGTGCAAGTAGATAAATAGGTACCGCTTTATAGCGGGAAGGTAAACGGCGTTTCCGTGTGCTGCTCTGGTGCCGGTTCGCCGGAGCAGCTTCATCACGCTGGCCACGTGACCCAGAAGTGTCTGCGGACAGCGCTGGCTCCCGGCCTCTAGAGTGAGATGAGCGCACAACCCTAGAGTCTGTCAAGACTGGCCCGTACGGGCAGGGGTACCTTTACCTTTACCTTTTTATTTTTATTGCAACAGCTGCTTCTGACAAAGCCATGATGGGTTCCATCCCCTGGCACAGAGGTGAGGGAGTTTTGGCCCTCCATATGCCATTAGAGGGGACTCGGGTGGTGCTGTGGGTTAAACCACAGAGCCTAGGACTTGCCGATCAGAAGGTCGGCGGTTCGAATCCCCGCGACGGGGTGAGCTCCCATTGCTCGGTCCCTGCTCCTGCCAACCTAGCAGTTCAAAAGCACATCAAAGTGCAAGCAGATAAATAGGTACCGCTGCAGCGGGAAGGTAAACGGCGTTTCCATGCGCTGCTCTGGTTCGCTAGAAGCGGCTTAGTCATGCTGGCCACATGACCCGGAAGCTGTACACCGGCTCCCTCGGCCAATAAAGCGAGATGAGCGCTGCAGTCGGTCACGACTGGACCTAATGGTCAGGGTCCCTTTACCTTTACCTATGCCATTAGAGTACTACTTCTCCATTCATTCCAGACCATTGGCCATGCTGACTGGGGCTGAAGAGGGCTGTGGTCCAATATAAAAAAATGTACTATTGAAATCAATCCAGACAATTAATAATAAGAAGAGTAGGGTAAGTCCTAAAATATATAAATCTCAGGTGTCAGTGGTCAGGGTAAAGAGATGTTTCTTGGGCATATGACAAAAGCTATACAGTGAAGGTACCAGATGCTCCCCTTTGGGGAGAGAATTCCAAAATTTAGGAGCTGCAGCACAAAATGCCCTCCATCACCTTGAACTTCTGAGGTTGATGGAAGTACTAAGAGGCAGATGTGCCAACTTGGCCCCACTACCGTGGGTGCCAAGGCCCATTGGTGCTATGCAGTGCGCATGGCCCTGGCACTCATATTTGTGGGTGTCTGGCCCCTTCATGGGGGAGTTTGTGGGTGCTTGGGCACCCAGGGCCCCAAGGAGTTGGCACCTATGCTAGGAGGACCACATGTGCCAATCTTAATACCTCTGTTGATCTTAATGAGAGTTGGGAAGGAGGCATTCTTTCAGATATTTTGGGCCAAAGTGGTTTAGGACTTTAACCACTAATGCGAGCACCATAAATTGGGCCCAGAAATGTAATGGCACTTGGGATTGTGTTAGTTCTAAATGGAACCCCAGCCAATAATCTAGCAGCTGCATTTTGGACCAGTTGAAGTTTCCAAGCCAGCTTCAAAGGTAACCCCATGTAAAGCCCACTGCAGCAATCCACTCTGGAAGTTACCAGATCATGGGAGACAGTGATGGAGGCATCTTAGTTCAGAAAAAAGAAAGAAAGAAGGAAAGGGAAATTGTTTTGATTTCGAAATGTTTGAAACTCACTTTTGCTCCATATGTAATCCCTGTTCCAGAGGTAAGGTGTTTGAATAGTGAGGATATATGGTTACATCCCTGCAGACATATTTGAGTTAGCAGACTTTTGTGAGGATATCCCATCCCCCTCCATCGCCACACAGTTCATTTTTAGCTCTAATCTAGGATGTCACCTAAACATCAGCCTGCAGCTGGGATATCAGAGCTGGAGGAACTAGCAGGTGATGCTTCACTGTCAGGATAAAAAGGACTTATTCCAGGCCCTCTGCCGATCTTGTGAAAATGAACCACAGATCACTGAAGGCCTGAATCTCTGATTAACTGTCCGCCATTATCTGCAGTGCCTACATTTCTCTCAGAGAGCCTCCCACCCAGTCTCAATTTAGCGCTTGAAGGGGGAAGGAGGTCTGGAGCCACAGAGGTATCATAATGGCCGCAATCCAAGCTGCTTTTCTTTCCCCCTCCATAAGTTACACCTGTTTGATGTCTAAGACGAACAGAAGAGCTGCACAAATTGGAAAGGGAGCCACAAAAATGATGAAATGGCTCGGAGAAGCAGACTTGTGAGGAAAGGTTAACTGACAGGACGACTCAGCCTGGAGAAAAGATGACTGAGGAGAGAGGCTGGGAAACTGCCTAACATTTAGAGAAACGGCTGTTCGGGGGACAGGCCGGGGAGGAAATTATCCTCATTAGGCTCCGGTGTCAGAAGAAGAATTTAGGGGGTCTGAAGCAGAAGCAGGGAAATGTTTAGGTTAAATGCCTGAAGAAATGTTATGAAGCTTAGCGCAGTGAAGGTAATCAAAGGGAGACTGTAAAATAGAGTCTCCATCTTGAGCAGGGCGGAAAAGACACTTCTGCTTAGCAGAGAACCATATTCCACCCTGGAGACAAGGGATGGTTTGCAAAGAATTTCAAGGCAGAAGCAGTAGGTTGATATATTTTGGGGATTTCACCTTACCCAGGAGCACATATGGCACCCACATATATTCTCCCCCATGGTGGAAAATGCTATTTGGGCCAATTTTAAGTGATGGAAGGGAAAATATTGGGCAGCCCGTCCTCCATGGCAGTTTTCCACCACAGACTGAACTTCTCAGTGCTATATTTTGGAGAAGAATAATGGTGATTTCATGGGGAATCAGATGATGGCAATTCCTTACCAATCAGGTCTGCTGCATAACATTTCATTCCTTTAAAGCAGATTTGGAGAACTGGCTCCAACCAGCAGGCTGGTGATTGATTGGTGGTTATGGAAACCTATTTTAAGGGTACAATTTTCCATAGTGGTTTAACCATCAATCCTTCTTCACAAGGAATTATAGGTGTGCGAGGGGGACAGAGGTCTCCTAACAACTCTCAGCACCCTTAACAAACTACAGCTTCCACAGTGCTTTGGGGGAAGCCATGGCTGTTTAAAGTGGTATCACAGTGCTTTAATTGTATGGTATGAATGTGCCCTTAGTTGGATACAACATTAGGATTGCAGTTGTTCCCGGGAAATTGGAAGGGGGTTGAGAGACACCCCCCTCCCGAGCCTTGCCTCTCCACACTACGAGGCAAAGACACATTACCAAATATAGCAATTCAATGATAAATGTATGTATGTACAGGCTCAGTGGGAAAACTTTAGAAATCAAATCGCTGTATCCATCTTCTCAGTTCCAGTGGTATTTAGGACCCAGGGAAGTGAGCTATAACGGGGGTGAGTGAGCCCACCATAATCCCTGAGAAGTACAGTCCTGTCCCATCCACAGGGCCTTCTCAAGGAGTTGTGACCGGTTATATCCTGCCCCAAGAGTGCCAGACAGATAACCATCTCAATCACAATGCCTACCCACCCCATAGTGGGACAAGACAAAGGGATGTGTTTGACTTGACTCAGGGACCAGGGAACTGTAGATACTATATTTGAGTGACTGAGGCATGCCTGGATCTCCACACCTTTTTCTGTGACATATCTATGATGTCTTCATGATGCTTCTGGAAATGTATTATGGGAAACTTTAAAATACTGATGTAACCATTGTTTGGAGCTTCTCTCTGCTTCTTCTATGTGGTAGTTTGAAGTCCTGTTGCAGCAATAAAGATGAGGCCTACTGGCTGCTGTTTTGCTTCAATCTCCTGGCTGAAGTCTCTTGCTTGTGACCCCCGACCTGAACCTGTGGGAGACAAGATTAGGCAATTGTGGGGTGCTCCAAGGACTCCCTTATACACGGTCTAAGCGAAGCATCAATGGCCCTGGACTTTCTCACTATGAAAGGAAGTCAGGTGTGTATAACAGTAGCTTATTTTTCTGTGGGAGCATGGTCTCTTGCTCATTAGCTGCATAAAGACCGAATGATCTTTGCTGGACACACAGTGTGTGAAAGTGAAGTGCTGATGTCTTAGAAACTGATGCAGAGAATGAACAGAGCAATTTTATTCACACACACATATACACCATCATTTGGGAAAACATCCTCAGGTTAGCTTACTCAAGGGGCATTCTGAAATTGTCAGCAGTGTCCAGCAAACGTGTGTAACAAGAGGCATTGGGACAGGTTTTTTTTGTTCTTGCTTATTAGCACCTGGCTTTAGCATTGCTAAGGGTCTGCTGTGTGCATCTAATATAGTCTATTTGCAACCCAAACTCTTCACTTGTGGCTCGTCTGTTAATTATATTTTATTACTTCATAAGCCAGCTACAAATGGAGCCTTAACTGAAAGCATAAGCCATTTTTATTATACATGCAGGCTAAATAATGTGATAAATTGTTTCCCCCCCCCCCACCATTAGATGCAGTTATGATGCTGCTTTTAACCACCCAGCCATATCGTTCAGTATTTCATTTTTTATTATTAAAAAACTTTTTAAATTCCATTTTCTTCTCATTTCTGAAGTGTCATAATAAAAAACCCATTTTTATTTATTTTAAAAACCACACACTTAGAATATGTTCCGAAACCAATATGCCTCTTACAGAGTCCTGTTTTCACAAGAGAAATTGTGGTGTATACATGATCTTCCTGGATAATGTTTTGAATAAGTAAATGAAGAAATTATTTCAATCATCAGGAACATCTCCTTCTTTCTCCCTCACTTCAATCATCAGGAACATCTCCTTCTTTCTCCCTCACTTCTTCCTTCTTTTTAAAAAGGGGATCTACAAAGTTTTGTTAATTTTAGTGATGAGCATATACCAGATCTTTTCTCATTTGTATTCTTCATAAACCCTCATGCACAACTGTATGATGGTCTTCCAACTCACAGCGCATACACACACACACACACACACACACACACACAGAAAAGAGGCAATAATACAGGGCTATAATGATGTTACTTATTATTATGGTTTCATTAATTTTCTCAAACTACAGCAGAGCACATTTGGTTGTCTGCTATGAAGCATTAGCATAAATATTAAAACTAAATTATGCTTGTCAACTAAATGAGCACAGTACACAGTGTGATACATTATCTTGGTTGTATATATATATATATATATATATATATATATATATATAGTGGGATTTTTTTTTCTTTTTTAAACACTTCTCTGTGTGTGAATTTACAAAAATTCAGGCATTTTTTTCCAACTGGTCCTCCAATAATTTGCACACATTAGTGCAATTCCATGGTAGAATATCTTAGGTCCGAAGAGGATCAAACACACCTTTTCAAAGCACCTGTTCTTCATCTTTTAGTTGATACAGCAATAGCCAAACACCTGCTTGTCCAAACCAATTCTTCTAGAACACATGATCTGGGCACCCATGGACCATGTTCATACAGAAAAAGCGAAGGATAGAAGAATCTGTCCGTTTTTTCCCTTTCTCATTTACACCCCCTCCCCGAGTAAACCACATTTACACAGCCATTTGCATAATAATAATAATAATAATAATAATAATAATAATTTATTTATACGCACCCATCTGGCTGGGTTTCCCAAGCCACTCTGGGCGGCTTCTAACAAAAGATTAAAAATACATTAAAACATCAGTCATTAAAAACCTCCCTAAACAGGGCTGCCTTCAGATGTCTTCTAAATGTCATATAGTTGTTTATATCCTTGACATCTGATGGAAGGGTGTTCCACAGAGCAGGTGCCACTACTGAGAAGACCCTCTGCCTGGTTCCCTGTAGCTTTGCTTCTCTCAGTGAGGGAACTGCCAGAAGGCCCTTGGCGCTGGACCTCAGTGTCTGGGCTGAATGATGGGGGTGGAAACGCTCCTTCAGGTATACTGAGCCGACGCCATTTGGGGCTTTAAAGGTCAGCACCAATACTTTGAATTATGCTTGGAAACGTACTGGTAGTCAATATCTACCAGCATATCATTGTGCATATCTCCTAAATTACATGGTTTTGCACACAATTTTTGTCTAATACTGTCCATCGTATGACAACAGTGGAGGTCCAGCAGAATGCATGCGTGTGCAGACGTTATGCTGGTGGGATCCCCACAGGAGACAAGAAGCAGAAAGCCCAGAAACATTGGATTCTGAACTAACCTAGCTACCATGAAGGGGCTGGCCTAATCACTGCACTAGTTCCAGCATGGTGCAGGGATATGTCTAGCCCTTCACACTTTTATGTTTTCTCTTCTTATTCCGTCGCTGTCCTTTTCATACCTTGCTGTTTCTCATGTTGCTGTCTGAATGGCTGTTTGACTGTTATTTGGAAAAGAGGGAAAAGGTTGAACTGCTTTAGGTAAATTAATCAAACTATTGCTTTAGATTCAACGTTATTAAATAGAAAAATCGTCCAGTAGCACCTTAGAGACCAACTAGGTTTGGTCTTGATATAAGCTTTCCTGTGTATGCACACTGCTTCAGATACCAAGAACAAACTTAGTTAGTCTCTAAGGTGCTACTGGACTTTTTATTATTTTTATATATATATTTTGACTGCGTCAGACCAACACGGCTACCTACCTGAATCTAGTACTATGGAAGTCATTAAATAGCTCCAACATCAAGCTAAATGGTAATTTAGTCCATTTAGGTTAGACCTGTACAGTTACATTGAACAGAGTTCCCTGGGAAGAGGGATTGACTATTAGTCCACTCTGAGAGTAATAGGGAACAACTGTCAGTACCTTTATCAAACTACAGTTCCCAGGATTCTTTAGAGGAAGCCAGGGCTGTTTAATGTGGCACGATATTGCTTTAAATGCAGAGTGGGGCACTGAGACCCTAATCTTCTCCTGTCTACTTTTATAAAAGTCCTTTCAAAGATCTAATCCACCACTTCATAGAGTTTGTTAGAGTTTGTTAGATCTGACATGATCACAGTTCCATGTATTCACACAGAACAGTTCCCTTCTTCTGATATATAGAAGAAACTGTCAGAGAACAGAACACCACAGCTACCCTACTTTTGAAATTGTGATTTGGCAAACTCCACGTGCATTTCTCGCTCAGTAGGGAAACCTGTAAGCTATTCTCTTCTTTTGCCTGGTGGGAATTTGTCCTTGGACTCTGATAATGCCTCTTCCTTGTCTGAATACACAGGGGTGTAAGAGTGTGTGTTCAATATATATATTTAATTTACTTAATTTTATTACGGTCCAGAGACCCAACAAATCATTACAAAGCAATGAACAATTCATACAGCCTACCTCCAGGTTAAAACAAGCATTTTGTTCAAAAGATAGGGATCATTGGTTCTTGCAACCACTGATTTAAAACTTTGCCACTGCTAATGTTCTAGCGTTTGTCTGGTCTTCCAATAGGAACCTGACATAGTGAGCCTTTGATTTTCCCAGGAATGGTACTAGCAAGGGTAATATCAGTTCAGCCCTGGCTTGCTCATATTTTGCACAGTGCAGCAAAATATGTTTTATGGAATCAATGTCTTGGGCACACGAGCAAAGTCTGTCCCGGTAGGGAACGCCTCTCAACCTGCCATCCAACACTGCAGAAGGAAAGACGTTTAGTCTGGCTTTGGTGAAAAGCCTTCGATAATTTGGTACTGTCAGGTTTTTAATGTAAGATGTTAACTTAAAGACATGCCCATATTGTACTCCTACTGCCAGCGGACTACAGACTGCGTGTGAGCGAGCTTGCAAGTCACTGTGTGCATTATCCCATAATCTTTGCTTTAACTTCTTTAGAGCGCCTTCATAACCCAGGTAATACAGTTGGGGGGGGCGACAGACCGATAGAGGTGGCTTTTCTAGCCATGGTTTTCTGCCATTTGCTGACAAACTCCTCATTGGTCAGGTGTTGGTACAAACCCTTCCCTAGATCAAACGCTGAAATCCTGAGCCAAAGTTTTAGGGCAGCCCACCATGCTTTAGTTGAAATTGGGCATTCACTAGCTTCTAACAGAAGTATGGAGTTGGGGACACAGTTGGGTACCTGCAGCAGAGATCATAGAAATTTTGCCTGAAAGCCATCTAGCTTTGGAAGGTCCCCAATATGCCAGACATTTGCAGTGTACAGGAGTTGGGAAACAGGTTTTGCGTTGAAAACCCTTCAGTCAAGTGTGTGTTCAATATATATGCACATTGCTCTGCTCATTTTTGCCTCTGACCCTGCCCACGACTGGTATGTGGCCCTCAGAAGGTTGCCAAGAAGGGAATGCGGCCCTCGGCCTGAAAATGTTTCCTCCCTCCGCTGTACCTGGTTATCACCCTGTGGTCTGTTTGCATGAAGAAGTTGTAACACAAGCTCAAGAGTCGTAAGTGCTAGAACAGGTAATGTTCAACTCTCTATGCAGCTATCCCTGCCCAGCAAAGTATTCTCAGGCTCCTCTGGATTGGTCCCACCCAGCGGAGACTCCGACATAGACTGAGCTATGGAAATGCATCATGTTTGGGCTCTGAATTTGCATGAACAAAGGTGTTTTCCTGTGTTCTCCTTAGGAGTCCAACATCTCCTGGGTCCTCCCTTAGCCATGACAGCTCCCAACACCCAAGCAATGGAAACTTACTTCCCATGCAACCAAGACTGTCTACCTGCCATACCATTTGTGCAATCTGAATTATGTTCCACAAGGGTGCCACATCATCTGTAAAACAAGCTGGTTTAAAGCGCAGTACACTGACCCAAAGGACTCCACCATTCTGACTCCACCAAGCCTTATACAAACCCAGCCTCAGGGCTTAATCTTCACTCTAAGCAACCTGTCTTACTAGAGGGAATCTTGCTCCTTTCCCTGGCAATGCTGCCTTTGAAACTTGACCTCCAGCCTGCCCTGGATTATTCTACTCCCTTTCGTCCCTTCTGATCTTCAATTGTTGTTTACAGAACTTGACCCTTCCCTGACCTGGATTGCCTGTAGTGTCATCGGACTGATAGCCAACTCCAAAGGACCCCAAGACTTGGCCACTTGGGAGCTGGCCTCTGCTGAACCCTAACAATATCCTTCCAAATTATTACCAGCCTTTCTACTGAAGAGCTCATCTTTCCACAAATACACATCCGGCAATGACATAATAAAACAATAATGTATAAAATGAAACAACGGTTACAAATCGGGTAAACAAAAGCCACAGTGGCAGCCACGTTTGACACATTAAAATGCAGCAGTGGATCCCACTCCTCTGCAAGAATCAGCGAAAAAGGGAAAACAATAACCCATCAACTAGTATTTGCCTTATGGAACAGCAGAATTTACAGCAGAAAAGCAAGAAGAAGGAAAGGACTCTCTTTCATCCACAGAGTGAAGGCCTGCATCCAGTGGTGCAGTACTACAGTGGTGCCTCGGGTTACAGACGCTTCAGGTTACAGACTCCGCTAACCCAGAAATAGTACCTCGGGTTAAAAACTTTGCTTCAGGATGAGAACAGAAATCACGCAGCGGCAGTGGGAGGCCCCATTAGCTAAAGTGGTACCTCAGGTTAAGAACAGTTTCAGGTTAAGAACGGACCTCCAGAACGAATTAAGTTCTTAACCCAAGGTACCACTGTATGTAGTTTGTCCGTCCATCTGTTTGTTTCCTTCCCTGTACATTTAGACACCTATCAGGGTATCTTGGCCAAACTTGGCATAAAGGTTCCTGAGGTGCAGGCAGCACTCTTTGTCAATGTTTGGATGCTGAGCGCCATTTTGAATCAAGATGGCAGACCGAAAAGTGACTTTGGCATGACTTCACACTTTTTTGGCATAGGTTTGGTTGCCTCTTGAGTTATTGTCGCCAAACTCTGCATGAGCGTTCCCAACATGGGGTTGGCATTCTTTGTTGATCTTTGGATGCCAGGCATTATTTTGAATCAAGATGGCAGGCTGAGATGTGACTTCACCTATTCTTTGCCATGGGTTTGACACTGCTCGAGATGCTATCACCAAACTCAGCACGAGGGTTGCCAACGCGGGGGTCTCCATTGCTGTTTGGATGTCAAGCACCATTGTTAGAGGGTCAGACTAGGGAAATGGAGACCAAGGTTCAGATCCCCACATGGCCACAAAATTCACTGGGAGTCACTGCCTCTTAGCATAATTTACTTTACTTGATGTGGGGATTAAATGATTAAGTAAATTGTGCAGTTAAGGAAGACTTGTTTCATTCCCTTATTAGATATTGCCACCAAGGGATAGAGGGAGGGGGAAGGGAGGCCCAGTTCATTGGGTGGGGTGGAAATGCTTCTATGCTGGACCAGAAAAGAAAATACCTATCATCACCTATGCAGGCCAACCACATGGTGTTTCACTACAGAAATGGTGGGAAACCATTTTCAGCCCAAGGGCCACATTGCTTTCTGGGCAACTTTCTGGGTACCACATGCTAGTGATGATAGTGGCCAGAGGCAAAAATGGCCAGACCAATTAATGTAAACATTACCTTTGTACAGTAGGCTAGTTTCTACACATGCTCACACATCCAGACCAGAAACAGCAAGTGCCATAATCAGAGTTCCAGGCAAAAGGACTTGTAGAGAGTGTGGAGCAAGGTCATTAAGGCCTGGGGAGAGGGGATGTGGCCTGGAGGAGCATCTCAAGGGTCAGACAGAGGGATTTGAAGGGCAATAGATAGCCCTGAATTTCCCTCCCCACTGACACAGCATCCCAGAAGCCTAAGCAATATCAGCTGATGCAACCCACAAGTAAACTTTGTTTGCTGGCTAGACTTCACTCTCGGCTACCTTTTTCACAAACCGTGTTCTGACGTTGTCTTCCCATCAGCCCTGTGGCATCTTTCCGCAGCTTGAACTCCAGAGCTGAAGACACTTTTGGCCTTATCTCTCTCCAAGCAGAGAAAGAGGTGAGCTCTCCTCCCTGCTTGAGCTGCTCTGTGTAAAAGGAGAAGCCACACATTCACCTTTGCCTAAGACTGAGGTCAAGCACATTGCTTGCCAGATCCTGTCAAATGCACCGAAAGAGAAATGGGATTCTTTCCAGCCCCTCTTTCGTCAGAATGCTGTGCTAATCTCTCTCTCTCACTCACTTTCTCTCTCTCTGCAGTGCTCTTAGAAATGATTGTGTCATGCTTCATTTTGGTCTGTCAAAGTCCCTTTGCAAGTGAGCATTCCAAGGCAATGCAATAACTGTTCCATGTTTGATCTCTGGCAAGGGCAAAAGCAGAGAGAGCAGGCCAGCTTCGGATGTCATTTCGACTGGTGTAAGTCCACCAGTTTTGCCCTTAAAATGAACAGGATGATCCTGGGTTTACGAAGGTATTGCTGAGATTTAGGCCGAGGCCTGGCCTAGTGACAGAAGGAGAAATTATCTCTTCCTCTTGATTGTTTTTATTCTAAAGTGGAGTGAACAGCCGAGCCTTTTCTGCCAAAGCTGATAAAACCGGCTGTCATTGCAGAAGGATTGAGATGTGGTGGGCACAATGGGAAGACGGGGGTTTCCGGAAATTGTTTTGTACTCAGGCTATTTCAAATTAGATTGTGTGCTTAAGTGAATCCAGACTTCCTGCAAATTGTAT